TTTACCAAACCCTTCTGTGCTTCAGTTTCCCAATCTGAAAAATGGAGATAATAAGAAGACACCTACATCATAGGGTTGGTGTATTAAGTTAACATATAAAGGGCTTAGGAGGATACATCTTAGTTTTTATTAGATATTAATAGTTGCTTGGTTATAACAGCAAAGAAAAATGTCTCTAATATTACACTAAAGCCAGAAATGTGAGAACAGGATCGAATTTTTTGATTGGCAGGCCTGGGACAGCCTTCCTTTATTATTCTCCCCTTCACTTCCCATGGCTCCATTCCTGTCAGTGTTTGACAGCTCTAAAGTTCCCTTACTCATCCACACCTCCCAATTAGGAGAGGCAGCCACCAGTATTTTGCTCAGGTTAAGTTATTCACCTATTGCAATGGTTCTCAACTTGGGGTAATCAGTTTTGCGTCCACCCTCCAAGCCCAGGAGACATCTGGCAAATTCTGAGAACAGTTTTGATCGTCACAACTGGGGCAGGGTGATGCTCAACACCCCAATGCACAGTACAGTCGTCCTCAATAAAGAATTATCCAGTCCAAAAATGGCAACAGTGTCACAGCTGAAAACCCCGATCTGGAGGTTCCAAGGGCTCTGGAGAAAGAAAACAGAAACAGCAGATGAGCAAGAACATCCTGCCTTGTTCCTCCAGCTGCGCTGGGTTCCCACTTGGTTCAGCCCATGTTACCAAATTCAGACCGTCTGGCCCACAGCTGGAATCTCAATGTACACTCTCTGATGTCTTTGGGCTATTCATGGCATCTACATAGAAGCTGGATTCCCACATCTTCCAAACCCAGAAATTAGGGCATAAGTTCTTGAAAGAAGTGCTACTGAAGCAGAATGTCCAAATTTTTAAGGAACCTTGGCAGAAAGAAGCAATGTTCGTCTTCTTCCAACTTTAGCAAATACATGACCTTTTTCTTTCCATAAAGTGCTCTCTGTTTAAAATGCTTCGCTTCTAGGTTTCAGGCCTTCAAATTTATTCCTGTAGCTGAACAAAATTTTACTAAGCTAATGAAAGTTCTAGGGTAAAAGAAGGGAAAGCATGAGAAGCAACATTATAAAATGAAAAGCTGTTAAATAAACAAGTAGGACAGGATACTGGCTGACAGTTACTGTAAAATTCTGTTTGTCTTAGCCACAGCTTGCATCAGGAACTGTCTAGCCAGCAAATCTAAAATGCGTATTGGCTGTCTGAGGCAACACATGTGAACAAAGAAAAATTAGCTTTTCTGTAACAATGTAAACCATGTGTAGCTCATGAGGCTGACAGAACTATAAGTGAAAACAGTCCCTTTGAGGCTTCACCACCAACCAAATTCCGTACATATAAAATTCTGAAAACAGCTGGAAATCGATCTTTTTTGTTTCTGTTAGTTATTCATGATGTTTCCTTTCCCGACTGTACTACAGGCTTGAAATCCTGCATTTGATTTCATCTGATTGAAAACTGCAGCCCTCAACAAAGAATCACTCATCCACTCTTCACTGGCTGAGGAATTCAGCAACCTGTTGACAGTTTTTGAAGGAGAGTTTCAGCATATGGAAGAATGACAGTATTTTCCATAATTAAAAAGTTCCTGGCTAACTTAGGAATACACATATGTAAATCATTTTAAAATATTTTTCACTTGCTATAGCAGAAGCTCTTTCCCTTCCTTTTATTAAGTTCATACTTGCTTCTTAGTTTCTAACCAACATCCTACCAAATGTCGATTAAAGCTATTCAAAGGGACTGAAAGTATAAATAGGGCAACCCTTTACAAGGCACCTCACATTCACAGAAAGGTTCCCATTTTTCCCTTTACAACACAATTTACTACCACAAGTCTATGTGCACATTCGAAATGCTATTTAAATAAAAATTCCTGTATGAACGATTTATCAGGGAGGGCCAAATATGCTTGTATATCAATTCCTTCTTTAGAAATCAAGGTAAGGTTGATAATAATTATACTGTATTTAACCATAGACTTCGAAGCGAATCAACAATTTTTTCAACTTTAGTACCTGCTAAGGAAGCAACAGGATTCAGGCTGTGAATGAAAACGCGTCAGCAATTCTAGTAGGGGCAGGCAGGCAGGAAGGGAGGGGCCAGGCTGCTTTTTTCCTTTCTCAGAAGTCAGGCAGCATCTGTCTGACCTCTCTGGGGTCTCATGAGCCACATCTCTAAATTACTTTAAACAACTTGACAAGATATGTAACTGTAATGATCACTACTAATGGTAACTGTGGTCATTAACAACAATCATCAAATTAAGGGACTTTCACAAGCATCTCCTTTGTTCGACAAGATAAATTTTGCAAGGTCAGAAATCAGTTTCTGCACCCCAGGAAGACTGCTACCAGATACATTTTATAAAATAATTGGGGTAGATGAGGGGTTGGGGAGGGGTGTCAGCAACATACAAGAGGCCTACTATGTACCAGGCATTCCAAGTGCAGAGGTGGCAGAGTCCCCTAGAAGAACACAGACATGTGAAGTTAGTTACATCTAGCTTTTCCTTTGGTCAGTGATGCTGTGTCAGTCTGTGAAAATTAGATTATGAAGCTAAAATGTGTGTTGGGCGTAGCACAACACAGTCTTAACTTTGTTAACTTCATCTTCCTGATCTTTAAAGGCCTAGGAAAGACTAACCTTCATTATGTTGTTCTGAAACTACAAAGCAAAATAGACACAATGAAATAAAATATATGAAAATATAAACTATAACATATGGCAATATTGAAACAAAAACTTGGTATTTTAAAATACAAATGAAACAACTGTTTCAGTAGATGCCTACTGTCAGCCTTAGGCTATCCACTGCATAACTAACCAGTTTTAATCAGGGCAAACCAGTTTTCAACACAGATTACCTAGAAGGGCATAGTTAATTACCTTTTTTATAGAAAAAGATAATGAACAATACTTAAATACCCTACTCACCATTCAGAATTTCTATTGTGTCCTTTGACCCAACAGTTGCACAAAACTACTTTTCCAAAGTAATGATACTGAATTACTATTTTATAAAGCATTCTTTCATTTAAAAATTTTTTATTTTCCAGGAAGGGCCATGGGTTATGATGAGCTGCCAATTTGTGTGTTTGCAGAGTCTGGTATTAGGAAAAATGTTTCTTCATGCAAAATGAACACACCACCACCCCCCAATCACACCAAAATAAAGTAATTTTCAAGTTCCAGGAGCTCTTTGATTCCTGATATTTATAAGGGAAAGTTTGTACCTTTCCACTTTAGCTGTGCCGTGGCCCAGTAGTTATTCCAAAAACTCTCCTCTTATAAAGGCCAAATGTGCTCAATAGATGTCCCTTAAACTACTTGATGCAAAGAAAGACAGGCTGTCAACTGAATCAACCATGATTAACTTTCAACATGTTTCCTTTCCAGACAAATGTTTACTATGTATAAAATACACATCTATTACTATAAAATCTTTTTATATGAATCAGCAATTCAAAACGTCATCGATCAAGCAATACCAATAATATCCTAAACGAAAATACTTAAAACTCACTATGGTCTTTAATTTTCAGAAGACCTGGATTTTAAGTGATAGTATTTTTCAAGATGACTGGATACTTTATATATTCCCCAGGGGACTATCATTCATGAATCTTTAAGTATTCACTTTTTCTACCCAAATAAACCACTTATTTTAAAAAGCTGATGGTACTCAGATAGCTATCCAAATTGGTTTAACTATTTCATACATTAACTATACAAGAAAGCAATTTTGTGAGCAGAAACAGATATAAATGAACAAACTTTCAAACTACTAAAGGGCTCCAGGACTTAAAAATAAGTACAGTTACAGAAAAATATCACTTTTTATGGAAAGGTTTTGCTTTATTTAATAGAAAGCAATGTTTTGAGTATATTTACTTTAGTCTTTTAAACCAATGCAAGTACAATGATAAGCACTGAGTAAAAAGTACCCTGCTTTATGAACTTATTTTTAACACATACTGCTCACTTAAGATAGAAATATGTGATCCAATTACAAAACATAACATGTATGTGCAAACACATACAACTGAACTGTGAAAAAATAGAAGATTAATCAAAATACTGTTTTAAAATATTAAATTCAAATTATGTGGAAATTTTATGCATAAAAACCATATTGTATAACCAGAGTAACTCTTTAATAGTCATTTCTGGAAAAAAAATATTAACTTTAGTTTAAAAGTTGAATTTTTTTTTTCTTTTTCAAAGTACTTTCAAAACTTCACGATCCAAATGAAAATAAAATACTTGTAACAATTCAGTCCAAAAACATGTTATATAATTCTAAACCCAAGAAATCTTCCTGTGATGTATAAAATGAATCTGCTAAGGGAAAAAGAGTAAAGAAAGCCAATCCAGGAAAGAAAACTGTTCCATTAAGTGAGAGTCAAAGTGTGATCTCAGATTACTTTTTTTTTCCCCTCCCCATCATTTCTTTCCATGTTACCTCTTGAGTCTGAGAGTCACCTACAGGGAGTTCACCTTGATCTACATTTCCTCTCAAATCTTCCCCATCTGGCAGGTAGCACAGGGAAGCACTAAATCACCCTCTCTATTTCACCGGCAGGAAGAGCAGAGCTCAAATTTCACTTTTACCTCCCCACTGCAATGAGTAACATCAAATAAGTGCCTAAAATCTATAATTATTTCAGCAACAAAGTAGACGTCCTAGGTTTGACTTTGCCCAGCTGTTTTGTTGCCTTAATACCAATTAAACATTAAGAAAAAACCTACACATTAAAAAACCTGAAATTAAAACTGTCCCTCAACAAATAATTTAAACGTTGGGAAAATGAGAAGTAAACATAGGCCCAACCACTTACAGTCTCCCTCCTCCATTCCTACTTCACACTGTTCATCCTAAATAGAAACGTAAGTGTTCACCTGGACAGTATGGGGAAAGAGAGCTGCTTATTTGTGTTAACGGGCTGGAAGCTTGGAGAGGCAAACGGGACATCCCGAGTCCCCGTTTCCATCACTCGGTCTGGTCCTGCCCGTTCCCGGTCCACGCGCCCCGCGGGCTGAGGGCATCAGGGGGCGGGTCCGGGGGACCCCCCGGCCTGGGTGTGGTGCAGGCAGGCAGGGGAGACCCGGCGGCGCACAGCGGAGTCCGTTTCAGTTTGATCACTCGGTGCGGGGTGGCCGTCTTGTCCGAGAGCAGAACCTTAGCCGGAGGTAGGTGCGCGGCCCCGTTCTCAGCAGCCCCAGTCCCCTGTGCGGCCTGGGGATGCCCGGGCAGCCCGGTCCCCACCGGTGCTGGCGCTTTCGACTGCGCAGAGCGCCGAGCCGCCCTTCCTCCTGCAGCCAGGGTTGCCGTGGCCCGGGGCCAGGGTTGGGGGGCACTGGACGGAGACACCCTGACGGAAGCAGAGTTCTTGACCTTAATTTGGGTGCTGGTGGAAGGACCCAAAAATCGGACTGGCTTAGGTCCGGTCTTGCAGTTTGCGCCTTCTTCTTCCTCGTCATTGGCTGCTGTTAGTCGCCTGTAAATACAGAAGTGGGTCCTTGTCAGCATTTACAGGTTTAATAGCTAATGAAAACGTCTCCAAAGTTTAACTTCAAGGTGAACAAAAAGGTTTTTGCCAAGAATTTGAGTCAAGAGGTTGAGCGGTATCAACCTACCTACCTCATCTCTCATTGCCCACCAAGGTCAATAAATAAATTAGCAAGGTTGCAGAAGACTGTTTCAATTTAAATACACTCTTTTAAACTCCTGCATAATATTAATACCAATGGTAAGTTAAAATCTGAAGTGTTACACTAGAATTATACAATATGTCACTTGTTCTCACAAAGCCTGATGCAATCCAGAGGATAACCAGGAGTGTCCCAAGTTGTTTTTCCCAGAAAAACAGCTGCAAGAGATCTACTAAGGAAAAAAAAGGGTTTCACAAATAAACTTGAGAAATGCTAAGTGTGTATTTTATTCTATTGAAGTTTTAAACTCTGTGTTAACAAAGATTCTGTAGTAAAGACACCTGTTTAGCTTTGTTGGCTCCATTTACCACGCATTCTGTAATGTAACCTTTGGCACCCAATAAAATTAGCACGCTACAGAACACATTCTGGGAACTGCTGGACTAGTAAAACCCACGGTACAGTCAGATGCTTTTCGAATTTGAGAAGTATTGGACAAACCTTCAGAGATTCCTGAACTGAGTTACCAAAAGCCTAAAGTGGGAATATCGGTGGACAGGTGATTGTTTCATCTGCTGTGCAGCAATCAACACAGAGAATCAACTAAAATGAAAAAACTGAGGAAAATGTTTCAAATGAAAGAACAGGATAAAACCTCACCAAAAGGCATTAGAGAAACATAAAGTAATTTGGCTGATAAGGAGTTCAATAATGGTCATAAAAATGGTCACCGAACTGGGAGAAGAATGAATAAACACAGTGAAAAACTTCAACAAAGCTATGAAAAATATAAGGAAATCACAAAGCTGAAGAATACTATAACTGAACTGTAGAATATACTACAGGGGTTCAACAGCAGGCCAGACGAAGCAGAAGAAAGAATCACTCAACTCAAACGCAGGGCAGTGGAATTCACCCAATCAGATCAGCAGAAAGAAAAAGAATGAAAAAATTGAAGATAGCTGAAGGGACTTATGGGACAACATCAAATTAACATCAACATTACAAGGCTCCCAGAAGAAGAGAGAAAGGAGAAGAAATCTTGTTTGAATAAATAATAGCTGAAAATTACATAGCTGAAGAAGGAAAAAGACATCCAGATCCAAGAAGCCCAGAGAATTCCAAATAAGGTAAAGCCAAAGAGACCTACACTAAGACACATTATAATTAAATGTTGAAAGTTAAAGGAGAACATCTTAAAGCAGCAAGAGAAAAATAACTTGTTACATACAAAGGAACCCCCATAAGATTATCAAGAGATTTTTTTCAGCAGAAACTTTGCAAGCCAGAAGGGAGCGGCATGATATAGTCACAGTGGTAAAAGAAAGAAAAATCCAACCAAGAATACTCTACCCAGTAAAGTTACTATTCAGAATTGAAGGAGAAATAGTTTTCCAAACAAGCAAAAGCTAAAGGAGTTCATCACCACTAAACCAGCCTCTTGAGAAATCTGTATGCAGATCAGGAAGCAACAGTTAGAACTGGACATGGAACAACAGACTGGTTCCAAATAGGAAAAGGAGTACGTCAAGGCTGTATATTGTCACCCTGCTTATTTAACTTATATGCAGAGTACATCATGAGAAACGCTGGGATGGAGGGAGCACAAGCTGGAATCAAGATTGCCGGGAGAAATATGAATAACCTCAGATATGCAGATGACACCACCCTTATGGCAGAAAGTGAAGAACTAAAGAGCCTCGTGATGAAAATGAAAGAGGAGAGTGAAAAAGTTGGCTTAAATCTCAACATTCAGAAAACTAAGATCATGGCATCCAGTCCCACCACTTCATGGCAAATAGATGGGGAAACAGTGGACATAGTGGCTGATTTTGTTTTTTGGGCTCCAAAATCACTGCAGATGGTGACTGCAGCCATGAAATTAAAAGACGCTTACTCCTTGGAAGGAATGTTATGACCAACCTAGACAGCATATTAAAAAGCAGAGACATTACTTTGTCAACAAAGGTCCATCTAGTCAAGGCTATGGTTTTTCCAATAGTCTTGTATGGATGTGAGAGTTGGACTGTGAAGAAAGCTGAGCACCGAAAAATTGATGCTTTTGAACTGTGGTGTTGGAGAAGACTCTTGAGAGTCCCTTGGACTGCAAGGAGATCCAACCAGTCCATCCTAAAGGAGATCAGTCCTGGGTGTTCACTGGAAGGACTGATGTTGAAGCTGAAACTCCAGTACTTTGGCCACCTGATGTGAAGAGCTGACTCATTGGAAAAGACCCTGATGCTGGGAGGGGTTGGGGGCAGGAGAAGGGGACGACAGCGGATGAGATGGCTGGATGGCATCACCAACTCAATGGACATGAGTTTGGGTAAACTCCGGGAGTTGGTGATGGACAGGGAGGCCTGGCGTGCTGCAGTCCATGGGGTTTCAAAGAGTTGGACACAACTGAGCAACTGAACTGAACTGAACTGAAACCAGCCTTACATGAAATGTTAAAGGGACTTCTTTAAGCTTAAAAGAAAGGGCACTAATTAGTAACAAGAACACATATGAAAGAATAAATCTTACTGGGAAGGTAAATATGTAGTAAAGGTAGTATAGTAATCACTTAAAGCTGATATAAAGGTTAAAAGTCAAAAGTAATAAAAATAACTATGATTAAAATAATCAGTTAAGAAACAGTATAAAAATATGACATCAAAAACATAAAACATGGCATGGGATAGTACAAATATTGAGATTTATGGTTTGATAACTTTCTTTTAGTGGTACGATTTAAGTTATCAAACCATAAAGGAAGAGAGCAAGATAAGAAAGGAACAGAGAGGAACTACAAAAACAGCCAGAAAACATTTAACAAAATGGAAATAAGTACATGTGTGCTCAGTCTGACTGAGTTATGTTCTGACTCTTTGCGACCCCATGGACTATAGCCTGTAGGCGCCTCTGTCCACGGAATTTTCCAGGCAAGAATACTGGAGCAGGTTGCCATTTCCTACTTCAGGGGAATTAAGTACATAAATACCTATCAATAATTACTTTAAGTGAAAACAAACTGCATTCCCCAATCAAAAGACATAGGGCAGCTGAACAGATCACACAATAGGACCCATCTATATGCTGCCCACAAAGTATTCACTCTAGATGGAAGGACACACACAGACTAAAAGTGAAGGGATGGGAAGAGATATTCCACAAAAACCAAAAGAAAACAAAAGAAAGCTGGAGTAGCTATACATAACATCAGATTCTTAGAAATGGAATCATAATAGCGTACTGATATGAAAACTGTGAATATATTTGACCTTTAAACTCCACTGAACATAACTGAAATTTTGTAGGTGAAAAATAGTTCTTTGGGACCTCACAAGTGCTGCTAAGTCATCATTATCACTATCTTGACCATGAATCAAAAATAAAATCCCAGAGGAAAGACAACTAACACAGAGGAGAACTTCCATAAAACCCTTTCTGTTTGCTTTGTATTTTGTATACATCTTCCACTGAACTCCAGTCCAGTCTTTCTCCACCTTAGCACTATTGCCTTTGAGGGTTCAATAATTCTTTGTTGCGAGGGGCTGCCCTCTGCCTTCTAGCAAGCAATCCTCTAAAATGCCAGCAGCCTCCCCGACCCTACAGTGTCTCCAAATTGCCAGATATATCCCCTGGATAACGAAACTGCCTCTGGCTGATAACCACTGCTCTAGACCTAAATGATATCTGCTCACTGTAAGTTCAAATGGCAAAAGAAATAATGATAATAAAATGAGAGCCCTTAATAAAAAAGATCTGTTTTAATGATATATGATTAATACTAAAAACTAAGTAAAAGTCTCTGCACGTCTGTGAAAGATTCAGAGAGTAAAAGAAAGCAGTCTGAAATTTCATAGGAGCACTGAAACAAAGTCTAAAATAGCTGATCAAGAAATTAGAACATCTGAAAGGCACGAATAATACCCAGACAATGAAATGAAATAATTTTAAATGTATGTAAAGCACAGTGAAAGACACAGATGTGCAGTGAATTTAATGCTAATTATTTCATAGAACATAAGAAAATACTACTAAATAAAAATGCTATTAATATTTGTGGTTACAGAAAAGAATTCAGGGTAAATCACAGGAAGTTTCAAATATTAAGTCTAATACATTTTTTAACTAGTGCCAACAAAGCCTGAGATTTCACTTTAGTGGGGAAAAATACCACAGCCTTCCCACTGTGTCCAATAGTATTTTTAAAATCAGACTCTCCCCCAAATAATAGTAATAAACCATATAACTCAGTTTCAAAGAATTACTTCTACTTTTAAATAGTTCTAGTAAAAACAAAAAATAGTTCTGGTAACTTTGCATTTATCAAGATTTATATTTTGACGGTAAGTCAGAATATTTATCAAGGTGATTAGTAAGCTCAGTGAGGTTAAGATCCACTATTTATTCCCCCAATAAAGGCAGTAAAAATAAAGGTGACAGATTAATAATAATAAACCAACAGAGAATAAACAACCTCTTTCGAATTGGAGCCATGTGACTCAGGCTTCCAAGTAAAGGGCGCTCTTCCAGAGTCCAGCATTCTATGAGCTCGTGAGGCACCCGCCAGTAGCTAACACCTGGAAGATAAAAGACAATTTAGAGAACCACTGTCCACTGCCAAAGATTCAGCAACATTGTTTTGTAGAAAACTGGCCAGGAAAACCTTAAAGTTCATGCCTCCGGTTTAACAAAGGAGAGCACACACAGAAAAAGCTCCCATGAAGAGCCAGGGCAGCAGGGACACGGCTCATGACCTGGGTCTACGAAGAGCTGGCTACCAGCCCAGCTCCGCCACTGACAATCAGCAGGTCACTGTATAGACCTGGGCAACTGCGTGTATGCTGGTTGAGGCCACAGGCTCTGGAGCCAAGACTGCCTGGGTCTGGATCCCATTTCTATCATTCGCTAATCCTAACACCTTGCGAAAGTTGACAACTTTTCTGTGCCTAAATTTCCTCATCTGTGAAATGATGATGAGAATTCAAACCTTGCTGTGCGGATTAAATGAGAAAATAAAAGCAAAATGCCTAGAACAAGGCCTGGCACAGACTTAGCACTCAAGAGATGTTTGGTTACCTTTACTGTAAGTCACCGTGTTGGTAGTAACATAAAAAGATTGGACAGTGGGGGTTCTAACACTTGCCCTCTCTACCTCACTAGGTTGCTGTGATCATCAATTCAGATAAATTTTGTGAACCACTCTATAAAAGGCAACCACTATACGAACAGGAGGTGTCAATACTTTATAGGCACCTGTTCAAACAAGAATAATCTGAGGGGCTTCCCTGGTGGTCTAGTGGTTAAGAATACACCAGCCAGTGTGGGAAACACAGGTTCAACCCCTGGTCTGGGAAGCTCCCACATGCCAGGGAGCAACTCAGCCCGTGATCCACAACTACTAAGCCAGCACCCTAGAGTCCTCACGCCACAACTACTAAAGCCCACGTGCCTAGAGGCTGAGCTCCACAGCAAGGGAGGGCCCACAATGAGAAGCCTGCTCGCCGCAACTAGAGAGAGCCCACATGCGGCGATGAACAGAGCACAGCCAAAATTAAATAAACAGATCTTTTTAAAGAAATCAGAATACAGAAAACTGAATAATCTGAGTTAATACGGTAAGCCAAGATTCCAATCAAATTCACTTAGTTTTTAAATCTGCTGTTTCTTTTTAAAATTTATTTTATTGACGGATACTTGATTTACAATGTTGTGTTAACTTCTGCTGCACAACTGGGATTCCGTTATACATATATAGGTATATATTCTTTTTCATATTCTTTTCCATTATGTTTATCACAGGATACAGAACAATAGGACCGTGTTGTTTATCTATTCTATAGGTAATGGTTTGTTTGATACGTTTCTGATTGAAAGCTGAAAATGTATTCTTATGAAACTTAAAAACATTATCTAAGTGAAAGAAGCCAGACACAAAAGGTCATATATTGTAGGATTCCATTTATGTAAAAATCTAGAATATGCAAACCCATTGAGACAGAAAGCAGACTGGTGGTTGACAGGGGCTGAGGGGAGAGGGGGATGCACAGTAACTGCTTAACAGATACTGGGTTTCATTTAGGATGAAGGAAATGTTTTGGAATAAACAGAGGTGCTGGTTACACACACTGTTAGTGTAGCAAATGTCACTGAAATGCGTGCTTTAATTCTTATGTGAATTTCACATAAGAATATATATTTCAATATATATGTTATGTGAATTTCACCTCAATTTTAAAAAAAAAGAACCATAAAAATTATACATAGACACATTAGAAAAAGTTTAAAGAATGATGCTGAATAAAAATTGCTTAGCATTAAAAACAAAAGTAATCTTTAAATCCCAAGAAAGAATTTGGCGTTTTCTTTTTAATCATCAAAGGTCCAGTAATAACAACCAACTTAGCAAGGTGAGCCTGTAAATTATTATATATATAATAGACGTATCCAATAATCAAAGTCTGTGGACCTCATTTTAAGACGACAACTTTCTAGAACTGCTTGATCATACTCCCAAGCCTACTTAAACACCACAAAAACATCCCTAAATCTCATCCAGTAATTTTTCATCTCTAAGTCAGGTTTATCAAAATGTAATTTACATAAAATAAAATTTACCCTTTTTAAGTCCTCTGAGTTTTGACAAGCGTGAACAGTCATGTAACAACGGCCACAGTCAAAATATACAACATTTCTACCATCCTCAAAAGTTCCCTTGTGCCCTTCTACAGTCAACGCCCTGCCCTCCATTCCTTGGTTTTGCCCTCTCCAGAAGGTCACATAAACGGAATCATACACTATGTGTGTAGCCTTTTGTGTCCGGCTTCTTTAGCGCGATGCTTTGAAGATTCATCTATGCTGATATATGTATCAATAGTCATTTCTTTTTATTTCTGAGTAGAACTCCATTATATGGATATACCGCAAACTGTTTTTAAAACTTATTTTTTCCTATATAATTCATGCTCATTGTATAAAACTTGGAAAATATAGAAAAGCATATATAAAAAATAAAAATCACTTCTAATTAAGGGATTAGGAGTTATGGCTCATGACATTTTGATATATCTCATTCGAGTCTTTTTTCTATTCATATGATATGCACATAATTGAAAACACATTACATTTAATTTTGTTTCCTACTTTTGACCATTTCTTAATCATAGGCACTCATCAGTGTAGAAAGTTATTCAAAGTAATTCTAACAGCTGTATCCCATCTATATCCTGTGGATGTGCCAAAATGTATTTAGCCCTGTATTATAGACATTTATATTGTTTTTACTTTTTCCCTATTGTGAGTAATGCCTAGTTGAACATCTCTGTTCATAAGCCTTTTTCTGCATTTGATTGTGTCTGTAAGGTAGATTTCAGGAAGTAGAATTACTGAGTCAAGACATATGAACAATATCGATGCTATTGATATGTACTGATAAATTATTTCCAAAAAAGTAATATTAATTTTACTCCTGCCAAGAATGCGTGAGATCTTTACTAATCTGGTACATAAAAATAGTTCTCATTTAATGCATATTTCATTAACAATGAGTTTGAACCTCTGCCACATTTGTTTCCTTTTCTGGGAATTTTATGGTCATGAATCTTATACTTTTATTTGTAATAGGGTTGAACTGATTTTCTAGTCAATTGAAATAAACTCTCTATTGTAAGGATAATCGTTGCTTAATGTAACACTTTAATGCAAGTTTTTTTTGCAAGTTTTTTAATTAGTTTTAAAATTTTATTTATAATGTTTTATGCTTTAAATAATTAAATATTGTATAAGCAAATTTATCTTTGTCTTTATGTTTCATTTTAAACTTATAATTTCTTTTCCAATTAAGAAATCAGTTATTTGCTTATATCTTATTAGTTTATAAAAGTTTCATTTTTCATTCATAAATTTACCTGGTAGTATTTTGATAAATGCTGTGAGGTTAAAGTTATGTTCTTCTCCCAAGCATATTTCTCAAACAACCTATCCTTTTTTATTGGTATTTAAGGCTTTCTTAGAGTTTCCCTGGTGACTCAGACAGTAAAGAATCAGCCTGCAATGCAAGAGACCCGGGTTCGATTTCTAGGTCAGGAAGATCCCCTGAAGAAGGGAATGGCAGTCCACCCCAGTATTCTTGCCTGGAGAGTCCCATGGACAGAGGAGCCTGGCGGGCTACAGTCCATGGGTCACAAAGAGTCAGGCACGACTGAGCAGCTAACACTTCCACACCTTTTTTCACTTTCATCTTCTTTCATCTTTCTTCTCTCACTTGTTCCCTGTATCATGGCTTTCCACAGGCCTTCCAGAACTTTTGTAAGATAACAATAATACTTTATAACATGCTTTCTAAAAAGTTAAAGTCCGTCACACACACATGCTTTGTGAGAGTCGGAGACCCAGCTCTCTGAGTCAGTGGAGAAGGAGTCCAGCCAGGCCCTCCCGAAGCCGCCTGGGCACCTGCCAGTCCAGGGCACAAAGGGAGACTGAGACCGCCAGGGGGCCATTCCTCAACTTAAGCGCAAGTGTCTCAAGTCAATTAAGTCCACGTAATAAGCTCAGGTGGAGAAGGCAACGGCACCCCACTCCAGTACTCTGCCTGGAAAATCCCATGGACGGAGGAGCCTGGTGGGCTGCAGTCCATGGGGTCGCTGAGAGTCGGACACGACTGAGCGACTTCACTTTCACTTTCATGCACTGGAGAAGGAAGTGGCAACCCACTCCAGCGTTCTTGCCTGGAGAATCCCAGGGACGGGAGCCTGGTGGGCTGCGGTCTATGGGGTCGCACAGAGTCGGCACGACTGCAGCGACTTAGCAGCAGCAGCAGCAATAAGCTCAGAGAGAATAACACTTTGCTCATTACACTTCATCCTATCTGTTTGAGGCGCATGATATGAAAAGAAAAAGAAGGAAAAGTGTGGGGGGGGGGTACTAAGGAAAAAAAGATTTGGACCAGCATCCTGCCTGAAGAGGAACAGTTGTTTTAAAAGGCTCTTCCGTTCTCTATTCAATCTTATGTGGCTTGCAATGTCATCTCTACCAGCTTTTAAGATCATTTGAGGACTAATAATATGTGTCTTATTTATCTTTGGATAATTTTAGGACTTATAGTGCTTGCACCTAACAGACATCAATACATGTTAAGTATGACAAAAATACTTAAATCATAGAACAGTTAACTCTCTGCCATCTTTAACAAGTGGCATGCCTCTCTGAGCCTCCTTTTCCTCATCAATAAATGGTAAACAGCACATAGTTTTAGGACTAACAGATACTAAGTGTCAACTATGTATCACACTGCATATCAAATAGCAGTATTATTATCAACTCACATTAGCAGCTTGGTAAAAATGGTCAAATTTCAAAGTGTGCATTTAAAAAATATTTTATTTTCTAAGGGCTCTTTAGTTATCTTCCCAGCATTATTTCCATTTTCTCTCTCTCTCCCTCTCCTTTTGATTATACATTTTATGCTTAATGCAGATGTATACTTCCTAGGACAACGCAAGGTACCCAAAAGGTGCTACAGGAACTCTTTTTAAATTGAATTAAATAAGCATAACTAACAAAAGTGTATTTTAGGTTACTGAACTATAAATTATTAGTAATATCCAGCAATGCATGCGTTTTAAAAATGTTGAAGTAAACAGCCTCAATGTTACTATGAGGTGACAAATACCTGGACCCACACCAAAAATTATTCTCTAAAAAAGCAATGCAGTATGTGACCTTGCTTCGTCTTATTAAGGAAAAGTCTACCTTCTGCCTTGAAATAGAAAAATTGTACTGTACCTTTTCCTTCCCAGGCATCAAAGGCATCCATCATTTTCTTCAATTCTGCTACTGAATAATAGCTCCAAATGTACTGAACATTATTTCCCGCCTCCCTAGAAACATCACAAAAGGTAATGAAAATATACTACCTAAGTATGAATGTATGTATATGTATACAGCAAATAAGATACTTAATAAGTGCTAATTAAGGGAAAAAAATACGTCAGTACTGAGTTGTTGTTCTTCTGTGATCGTTAAGCATATATATATGACATGCTATATTATTATAATATACTAAACTTACATACTAATCTACATACATTTTATCTCTTTTTATTGTGGCAAAGTCTTTGTTAACTCAACAATATAACTGTGTAGACAAACTAATAAGTCTTTAAAATAAGTTTTCTAAAAAAAATCACCTAGCTCCAGCAAAGTAGAAAAGGTTCAACTTTGACTAAAACTTTTCTAACACTATGCCATGTACTTATCTACAAACATCTGTCTGTAAAGAATTCAGAAAATGATGATATATTAATTGTCTAAAAAGCAAGCTCATGTGGTCATGCGTTAGTCACTAATATGTGACCCAATCCAATCTCCCATAAAATTAAAAAAAACATTGCTAGGTGAATTGACCAGTATAAATAAGATTACAAGGAAAACATTAACAGAGTAACCCTTAAGAATTTAACATGCTCAAGGTACAGCATTTTCAAGTTGGGACGGGACTGGATGAAAAGCCTTTCAGTTCAGTCCAGTCGCTCAGTCCTGTCTGACTCCCGGTATTTCTTAAACCAGGACACCAAGACGCAGGTCAGTCCTGGGCCACTCGGGGAGCCTGCTGACTTCCAGGTCAGGCTTCTGCTCCTGGGCTGTAGTCTAGACACCCCAGGCATGTGGCTTTTCTCTTCCTTCTTTGCTCTCTGTATAAGGCCTTCCAGGGGATTCTGATCACAATTCCCAGCTGAGAACCTCTGTAAGACCAGGTGGATGGCCTATTGCTTCTACAGATAACAAATGGTCTGAATTGCAATCTCTTCATGAAGCAGGCTTATCTCAACAGCTATGAGACTCACTCTGTCTTTTGAGAAGTATTGATGGTCTTTCCTAGTCAACCACATATTAAATTCAATAAGACCTCTTAGGAGAGACCAAGATTTTATTTTGTTCCTTTTCATATTTAAATATGGACATACCTTTTAAAAATGCTTTTACTGTGAATTCTTCCTCCCAGCTGTTTATCAATAGCATCTGTTCCATCAGTTTTTGTGGAATATACACCGATAATCCTACTCTCACAGCTTGCACCAGATGTGTTAAGATAGTGGAGAACCCAAACTGTTGGTTTATTGCATACTAAACCATACGAATCACAGAAGTCTGTTAAAGCCTGGAGCAAAAAAAATATATATATATAAAGTTTGAATTTAACTCTGGAGCAAAGTAAAAATGAATTTATTCTATTACTTTCCTGTAAAGCTATAATTTTACTTGGCTGTGAGGGAAATAAAAAGACTAAACATATAATCTACTTTTTATGACTTTAAAAACCAAACCATTTGTTGAATTTGGGGTGGCATTTCACTATCCCAAAATCCAACACCTTTTCATCTAGAGAATCCTTTTCTACTAGGAAATCATGCCTCATTTCCTCCTCCTCTAGACTCACTACCAACATCATTTTAAAATCTTCATATGATCACTAGAAGTTAGAATTCTTTCTTTCCCTCCAAATTTTCCATCTGACTAAATTTTCCTTTTACCTTCTATTCACTAACCCAATGGTAGACGCTTATTCTGAACTCAAAATCCAATCAAGGATGAACCAGATTAACTTGTTCTTTCACACTGAAGGATATGAATATATGAAACTAAATGCCTATGGTCTGAACTCATTTGGCATTTATCTACCTATTCATTCAGTCACTTGAATACTCAGTGATGTGTGAATACTACGTGTGTAAGGTTGGGTCCCAGCCCTCCTCAATTTATAGCTGATGCAGAAGACAGACACTAAATAAGTCATCAGCACACAGTGTAATAAGTGCTACCAGGTAAGCCTACGAGGTGCTGAGGGGCACAGAGTAAGAGACTTCCCCCGTGGGGTGGCTCAGGCCTTCCCCAGGAGAAATGGCATTACTGCTGTGAACAATGATGTTTTGTTGGTTCTGTATCTCAAGTGCCTAGAAAAGGGTCTGACACAAAGGAGATGCTTACTATTTACTGACTCAGAGAAGGAAAACAGGACCCTAATGTGTGTTGCATTTAATATTGCCATCTAATTCCTGAATTGGCTTTTATCTTCACTTGCACATCAGTGAAAATCATCAACTACATTATAAACTGTTCAAGGGCAAAAACTGCATGTCCCACACAGTCCTCAGAGCAGTGTCTTATGTGAAACAAATGAGTTGGCTGGCAGAATGAACGTATGCATGCTCTGTCCTTTGTGCATACAAACCAGGAATGAAAGACTATAAAGGTGAATGTTAATCCACCCCAACTAACCCCAGTTAGGATTTTTTTAGCCCCACTCTGCAGATTCAACAAACAGTACCAAGAGACTGTTTAACAACTCAATTTATAAATAAGTCCAGTAGCAGAATCTATACAACCATGCAAATTTCCGAAGGGGATCTGGAACCAAATCAACTTTCTCTTCATGCTGCATTCCTAGTAACTATACCAGCAACTTGCTCTCCTAAACACTGACGTCTAAGTCAAAAGAATTCAGACCAATTCAGACCAGTTTTCACTATGCACAATTATTTAGGAAAAATATTTTTCTTAAATGCCCCAAAGTGCTAATTAACAGCAAATATGATACTTATTAATGAGAAAAAAACAGATGAAGCTGTTCAAGTCATGTAAACACCTTTAAAATGTGATTTAAAATAGAAGCAGCTTAAAAAAAAAGATTCACTGATCTCAAGGTGAACTAATCAAATATATTTCAACTTAATAATCAACTGCTACACTCATTTAATCAGGTGAAAGATTTTATACAATCTTTTATTTATCATCACCATCCTTTTAAAATTATGCTTCCCTGGTTGCTCAGATGGTAAAGAATCTGCCTGCAATGCTGGAGACATGAGTTCTATCCCGGGATCAGGAAGATCCCCTGGAGGAGGAAATGGCAATCCACCCCAGGATTCTTGCCTGGAGAATTCTATGGACAGAGGAGCTTGGTGGGCTACAGTCCATGAGGTCACAAAGTTGGACACGACTAAGCAACTGACACATTTATCCTTTTAAAATATCATTTTGGGAAAGAAATTATTACCACTATATTTTTACATACTACAGTGCTGCTCTTAATTTAAGGAGAACTTCAAGAGTAGAAGAGTCCTATTTTTAAAAATAAAAAGCCATCAAAAAATGGTAAATTTTCAATAAGGAATAAAAACTCCATAAACCTTTGAGTGGCTTTGTAATATACTTTCCTAGAATAGAATTTTGGCCTTAAAAAATGAATACTGGTAATTAAGAAACACGACTTCAAAAATTGTAAGATGTAAAAACTGTCTCATTTTGGTTTATGTTACAACACAGGCTCTGCAAAATAACATACACTGCTTTGTGAATAATAAATGTATAATAAATGAATACTATATATTCATATATGTGTTTTAAAGCTTAAGAAAATGCCAAGACCTTTTTAAGTTCTATATTTGACCTTAAAGAATATGTCTCCATTTCATTGGCCAAGTGGTCAGACAGGCTGTATGGATAAGGGATGCCAAAGTAATCAGCTTCTTCCTGCAGAGCAACCCGGGTTTGCTCCTCTGTGGGAATGTGAACTTCTCCATGAAGATAATCCAAAAGGTATTTAAATAGATGTCCATCACGGTCAATAACACAAGCTCCTAGAAAACATTCAGTTCAAAAATTATTGCATAGATACAAATAACCATGATAAAGTTTCAACATGTCAAACTAAAATTAGACTGAAGACCTCTACAAGTAGAAATGTTTCTTTATAAGAAAGTTAATATCTTGTGTTCAAGTAGATTTAGTCAAATTTGGGGATTCTTTGTATTTGCACCTACTATATAGGAAAATGTATTCTGAGCTCCATCAGGAATTTTGGATACAATGACCACATTCCTACTGCTGGCCACTGCAAAGACCATGGAAGCCTCAGACTGCTGGTAGAATTCTAAGTTTACCCCTAACCTCAGCCCGGCTGGGCCAGGAGAGGCGTATGGAGTTCTTCCCTAATGAGGGTATGCGAGTGCTCGTTACTATGTCTGGCGTTTGTATGTCGGTGATCGTACAAATCAACTTGGAGTGTCACTGACATATAAACCCATGGTTCCAAGACTTGGCCACATCATATGTTTGGACTTACTAGGCTTGTCCTTTTGTACTAAACATTAAAAGAGAAATGCTATGCGGGTACTACTTTATGAAAAAGGGCTTTTCTTAGACAATTCAGCAGAAGTTTTTAAAAAATACTTCTGTATGAACAGAGGAGCCTGGCAGGCTACAGTCCATGAGGTCATAGTCAGACACGACTTAGTGACTAAACCACCACCATGAGGTTATTCAATAATTCCTTTTCTCCCTTGATTAGTTTAGAATAAAAGGATTAAGGAGGTATAAACTTTGGGGCAGAGGAAACAACTCACTTCCCGCTGACCACCTTTTCACCACAGCCTTTCTGTCCAGATGGACGTCAAGTCCTGGGCACCACACATCAGTGAGTTTTCCATTCTTTCAACTGCCATTCATCTGGCAAAGCAAGCTCTCAAGACCCAGGGTTACTAACAGCCCTTCAGGCTCAGAACTCCTCAACCTAACAGAAGCAAGAGTGGGTGCTCTGAGCCCCAGAACTCCTAAGATATACAAAAAGCCCTACTTGCATTGCTGAAGTTTTTTTTACAACCAGCAGTAGGTTCAGTGAACCCCAAACACCTGAAGCATGGAGCAGCACTAGGACCCTAATCCTTGCGTTTTACAGTTTCTTCTGAAACACCAGTTTTCAGTCCTCTCCCACGCGTGACTGACAGTATCACCGCACTGACGTTTTCCATGGCATGCATGTCAGCCCACACAAGCCTCTGCAGCTGGACTAGGAGTGAATTTAACACTAATTCTGCACTGACAATGCCTGCCCTCAGCTCTGAAGGCAGCTGCTTCCTCCAAAAAACACAATTTTTAACTTGAAGAACATATACAGAAGCTAATATATTTAATCAAGCTCAATACAAAGACCCACTGAGTTGCATGAATGTACTCCTTTCCAAATATAATTAACCCCCCAAACCAGGTCCATCGTTGGACTGTATACGGGCTTCCCTGGTAGCTCAGACAGTAAAGAATCTGCCTGCAACGCGGGAGACCCGGAGTTCAATCCCTGGATTGGGAAGATCCCCTGAAGAGAGGAATGGATACCCACTCCAGTATTCTTGCCTGGGAAATCTCATGGACAGGGGAGCCTGGCGGGCTACAGCCCATGGGGCTGCAAAGAGTTGGATAGTTTCACTTTTTGACCTTTATATACATTCATTTTTTTGTCAACTTTTAGCGACAGCATCACAGATTCTAGAAACTGGTATTTAATTTCTCCAGGTACTTAATGAAACTCCATACAGTCCTAATGATCTTAGTAATCAGCATACTGAGCTAATACATCCTGTTGTAATTAGAAAAATTAAAGGGAATTTAAACTAGACTCCTGTTTTAATGAATATTCATGATCATGCTTACAGACTTGAGGCATTTACCTGATTCATCTGTTTTTAAAGGGAAGCGACCACTGAACATGGATGCCAGCATTGAATCCTTAAAGCGGCACAAGGACTCCCGCCTGGCTGTGTAAATGCAGCCACCCACATTCAGTCGGAGAATATCTAACACCTCTTCTTCTGCCTTGTGACCTTCCATCGCTCTCTTCAACACCCAAAGTTCTGCCTTGAAATACTTTCAGAAACTGGAAAACAATGTGGTCTCAGTCCCCCTCTGTAAAAACAAAGGACAATCACCATTGACATTTCCAATAATACATGAAATAGATTAAAAAGTATACAGTCAGATGTGATTTTAAACAAATTCCCCGGCATGAGCAATACTGAATTGAAGGATTTTATATAACAGAAAAGAAGTCTCAGATATTCTGAGAAGCTGGAAAACTCAAGTATGTAAATGATAATAAACTATTATAACCAAATCGAGGTGTTGAAATGACCACTTAAAGAATTAAACGAGATAACTAATGCATTGTCGGCTACATTTAGAGCATAGGTGAGGTGTGCTTATGACCTCAAGTATTCACACATCTTTGCAAACTACAGTAAGTCTTAGGGAGCAATGTAGACTTGCAGAGATTATGAGCATGTAGCATGGAATCGGGCTACTAGATGCTACAACTTACTAGCCTGGGACCTTAGGCAAACTTAATCCTCCTTTGCCTGTTTCCCCATGTCTAAATTGGAGGTAAGGATGATGCCTCCCTTAAAGGACTATCAGAGGAATGACTGACAGAAAATTTAAAAAGTATGTGGAACAGTCTCTGGCTCTGAGTAAGTACTCAATAAATGATAAATAGCATCTATAATGATATAAAAATTTACCAGAAGGTATATACTGAAAGATGTTATATTGGCTCCAAAGAGGAGACATTACTAACGATGGTAACGATAATTCTTAAATTAGGCAAATATAATTTGTCAACTAAGGTTAGAATTCCATGTATACCAAAAGACAAACTGGTCGAGAGGAATAAAATGATACCTGTAAATCATCTGGCTCCTTCCCTCCAAAATAGCTGAAGCTTTGGGGACATTTTATAGATTTTATTTCCTAATCCATTTTGGAGATTGGTGAACCAAGGTGACTGCAGTGTTTCTATGGAACCTAAAACAATACCATGATGAAAAAGGCACTCCCAATGTATCTGGACCTTTCATAGCAAGTGTAAAATAGCTGCCAAGAGACTCAACTACATCCATGGCGTCCATGGCAATTCACCTATGCCATCAACTATGATCTTTTCGTAGATGCTCCAATTTAGCCAACTTCCAATGAAATAAGAGAAGGAGACCATTAGAGTCTGAGGAATACCATCTGTGTGAAACATAGTCAGTAGACAGAAACTATTATGGGCCAACTCCAGCCTTCAAAGTCCATTTACCAATGTGACTTCCTACACTGCCTGTAAGTCCAAGCAGCAGCCCAGCAACAAACCACGTGAAAGAACCACTTCTGAGGCCTGGGGTGGAACTGGTTCACGCTGTCTCTGTTATCAGCTCCCTGGAATCCTATCTATTCTTCAAAGCTGCAGGCAAACCTCACTGGTTCCAGGAACTTCCCAAGCAAAGTTAGAATCTTTGTTCTCCAGATATACTCTGTACCCCTCTCCACATATTATTCCACTGGACTAATCTCTGGTTTGGGGGACTATAAATTGCATCACCTCTGTAGTTGTTCTTCCGTTGCTAAGTTGTGTCCTACTCAGAGACCTCGCTGACTACAGGCAGCATGCCAGGTTTCCCTGTCTTTCCCTAATTCCCGGAGTTTGCTCAAGCTCATGTCCATGGAGTGGGTGATGCTATCCAATCCTTAGCATCACCCTTAACAATTTCCATATCCTGAGTGCTATGTGCCAGCCACTGCAGGAGTCCCTGGACCGATATTACCTAATTCACAGAAAAGGCCTACTGGGTAGGCATTCCTGTCCCCACTGACACTGCTGCAGGTGAGGGCACTGCTGCTGCTGCTTCGAAGTCGCTTCAGTCGTGTCTGACTCTGTGCGACCCCACAGATGGCAGCCCACCAGGCTCCCCTGTCCCTGGGATTCTCCAGGCAAGAACACTGGAGTGGGTTGCCATTTCCTTCTCCAATGCATGAAAGTGAAAAGTGAAAGTGAAGTCGCTCAGTTGTGTCGGACTCTCCGCAACCCCATGGACTGCAGCCTACCAGGCTCCTCCATCCAGGGGAGTTTCCAGGCAAGAGTACTGGAGTAGGGTGCCATTTCCTTCTCCAGGTGAGGACACTGGAGAAAGATATAAGCATATGTGCAGGGTCTACACTGGTAATGTGTGCCCTGCTGTAAGTGATGAAGTCAGCCCCAGTCCAGGACAGCTGGACCAGCTCCAAGTTCTTCCAGCCGCATGCCACACAGCCTCCTTCAGCACTCTCACTGAGGTTCCTGACCCGGGCACGTCACTCACTAAACATCTGTCCATCTGAAGACTCCTGGTGATGGCAACAGTAACACAGCAGCACCCTGAGCGCAAGGATTCAAGAGAACCCCTAAGACAGAGGACTATCACCACTTCAAGGCCAGTCATAGGGCCCCATCCTCAGATGCACCCACTTGGACTCCCTGTTGGGTCGGAGGGAGTCGAAAAGTGCCCAGTCCTCTAAGAAAGCATTCCCAAAGTCCAGTCCTGTGACCACCTGCATCAAAACCATCAGGGACGCTTGCTGAAAATGCAGATTCCCCGACCACTATAGAGACTCCGGTTCAGAAAGTATGAGGTGGGGTCAGAAGTCCGCCAGAGGACCCTACTTTGAGAAACGCTGCTCAAGGGCCTCGAGCTCCTCCCAGGACGCTGGACGAAAGGGGAGGGACTGGGACATCACCAAGCCCCGCAGGGGTCTGCCCGCACAGACCAATTCCAGGGATCCCGAATTGGCCGGAAGCCGAGTCTGCAGCCCGAGGCGCCCGTGTTACCAGCGTGACCCGGGCCCTTCATCAGGGCGCCGCGCTGCCTCCCGGGCCTGCGGCCCACCCGGCGCCCCGCGAGGCAGGGTAGGCGGTATCCCCGACTGACCTGCGGCCCGCCTGGCCGTGGGCGCCACCGCCGCCGGACGCCGCCGGACGCCGCCGGACGCCGCCGGGCCCGACGCGGAAGTGAGCGCCTCCTCTGCTGCTCAGCAACTCCTGTAGCTGCGCGGGCCCAGCGGCGCCCCCGTGCGTCCCGGCAGAGCCTGGGAAAGGAGGCCCCGCCCGGGACACGCCTCGGACACGCCCCCCCTCAGCGCCCCGCCCCTCAGCCGCCGCAGAGGAGGCTGCGGAGGGGATGGTGGGAGGTCAGCCTGTCTCCCTGTCCTGCTGGGAAAAGAAAGGTCCCAGAAGGGAGACGCAGGCTGTATCCCCGAGGACCGATCTTGACCATTCAGAGGCTCCTTTTACACTTGAAGAAAACAAAGCCGAAATTGCAGTCGTCCACGGTCAAGTGGGCCCTAGAAAGCATCACTATGAACAAAGGGAGTGGAGGTGATGGAATTCCAGTTGAGCTATTTCAAATCCTGAGAGATGACGCTGTGAAAGTGCTGCACTCAATATGTCAGCGAATTTGGAAAATTCAGCAGTGGCCACAGGACTGGAAAAAGTCAGTTTTCATTCCAATCCCAAAGAAAGACAATGCCAAAGAATGCTCAAACTACCGCACAGTTGCACTCATCTCACACTCTAGTAAAGTAAAGCTCAAAATTCTCCAAGCCAGGCTTCAGCAATACGTGAACCATGAACTTCCAGAGGTTCAAGCTGGCTTTAGAAAAGGCAGAGGAACCAGAGATCAAATTGCCATCTGCTGGAACATCCACTGGATCATGGAAAAAGCAAGAGAGTTCCAGAAAAACATCTATTTCTGCTTTATTGACTATGCCAAAGCCTTTGACTGTGTGGATCACAATAAACTGTGGAAAATTCTGAAAGAGATGGGAATACCAGACCACCTGACCTGCCTCTTGAGAAACCTGTATACAGGTCAGGAAGCAACAGTTAGAACTGGACATAGAACAACAGACTGGTTCCAAATAGGGAAAGGAGTACATCAAGGCTGTATATTGTCACCCTGCTTATTTAACTTATATGCAGAGTACATCATGAGAAATGCTGGGCTGGAGGAAGCATAAGCTGGAATCAAGATTGTCGGGAGAAATATCAATAACCTCAGATATGCAGATGACACCACCCTTATGGAAGAAAGTGAAGAAGAACTAAAGAGCCTCGTGATGAAAATGAAAGAGGAGAGTGGAAAAGTTGGCTTAAATCTCAACATTCAGAAAACTAAGATCATGGCATGCGGTCCCATTACTTCATGGGAAAACAGTGGAAACAGTGTCAGACTCTATTTTGGGGGGCTCCAAAATCACTGATGATGGTGACTGCAGCCATGAAATTAAAAGACGCTTACTCCTTGGAAGGAAAGTTATGACCAACCTAGACAGCATATTAAAAAGCAGAGACATTACTTTGCCAACAAAGGTCCGTCTAGTCAAGGCTATGGTTTTTCCAGTGGTCATGTATGGATGTGAGAGTTGGACTGTGAAGAAAGCTGAGCGCCGAAGAATTGATGCTTTTGAAGTGTGGTGTTGGAGAAGACTCTTGAGAATCCCTTGGACTGCAAGGAGATCCAACCAGTCCATCCTAAAGGAGATCAGTCCTGGGTGTTCATTGGAAGGACTGATGCTGAAGCTGAAACTCCCATACTTTGGCCACCTCATGCGAAGAGTTGATTCATTGGAAAAGACCCTGATGCTGGGAGGGATTGGGGGCAGGAGGAGAAGGGGACGACAGAGGATGAGATGGCTGGGTGGCATCACCGACTCGATGGACATGAGTTTGGGTAGACTCCAGGAGTTGGTGATGGACAGGGAGGCCTGGCGTGCTGTGGCTCATGGGGTTTCAAAGAGTCGGACATGACTGAGTGACTGAACTGACTGACTGACTGAGGGTCAGTTCATAGTGATAAGAGGCTTAGTTAGGTTTTCTCACTTCTAGATGAAGGCCCTTCCCTCCAAACTGGGCTGCTCAATGCAGTGCCAAGCAGTGGAATGTTTGTGCCTTTGGATGGTATTTATGGCTTACAAAGCTGTTTCACACAGAGCATTCTTGTTTAAATTAGCTGTGTGACAGTCCTGTATTGTTATTCCTGTTACAGAAAGGAACACTGAGGTAGGAGCAAACATTTATTGAATACTTCTGTACACCTGAGGTTCTTCTAAATCCTTTGCATGCACTAATTTTCTCTTAACAATAACCCCAAGAGTGCTTTTGGTTTCCAAGTGCAATCTACCTTGGGCAAGAGACTTTGCTAGGTATTTCAAAATGGATAAATAAAACACAGTACTATTCTCAATGTACTTTCCCAGACTCAATAATAATTGATTCCTAATTTTTCTAACTGGGTCTTAGAAGGGAATAAGTATGAGATAAGCCCACCTACCCCTCAGATGTGGATAGTAGGCAGGAGAGGGAGAAGGTTTGTTCAACCTATAATTATTGAGTGCTAGCTATGAACTAGTTAACTAGTGCTTAATAATTATATTGTCCATTGTCATGTCCAGGGTGCAGTGGACTTGTACTTGGGCAAACTCCAGGAGATGGTGATGGACAGGGAGGCCTAGCGTGCTGCAGTCCATGGGGTCACAAAGAGTCAGACACGACTGAGCAACTGAACCTCAACAGAACTATGAAGTAGGCCCTGGAAGTGAAGGACTAAACAATGTACCTGATCAGTGTCCCTGACCTAATGTCTCATGGCATTTCCATTCTAGTGCAGTTGTCAGAAGACCTTTGTCTGTAAATATTTTAGGCTTTGTGGGCCGTACATAACTACTCAACTTTGCTGTTGTAGTGTTGAAGCAGCCATAGATAATACATAAATGAATGAGAGTGACTGTGTTCCAGTTTTATTTATGGATACTGAAATTTGAATTTCATGTAATTTTCATGTGTCATGAAATATTCTTGAATATTTAGCAAAACCATTAAATATGTAAAAACCACCATTCTTAGAGTGTGGGCTACCCATGGGTCAGAATTTGCCTATTTCTGTTCAAATGGGAGAAGCAGACACTAGAAGCAGAGAACTCTCATTAATAAAAAAAAAATGGGACGTATTAAAAAAGAGAATTTTAAAGGGCTCAGTGGAAGTGTTTTAGAGGAATGGAAAGAGTGGGGCATTGGCTCAGAGTGATGGACATACTGGCAATATGGGAACAGAACCTCAGGTGACAGTGGACAGCTTGAGGGTTTGGAATTACTGGGAGGATTAAGGTAGACAGGGATGTGAACCATGATGAGAACAGTCCTAATGTTCTATTACTTCAAAGTTAATGCCAAAATCCAGATGTTTAGCAGTATTGGATGGCCTCAGTAGTTATTGAGGTCACCCTCTGGCTGCTCCCAATTCTATGGTAAACGGAGTGAATGGGCAAGTCTTACAAGGAACCCAAGCATTAGGAAAGCCTTTGGGTGACTGTTCCCTCCACCAGCTCTCCCAGGAGTAAAGGACAATCCTAGCTCTGATGCATAGGAACTTGAGGAGAAGGGAGATAGGAAGAGCCTGAGTCACAGACCTGATCAGACTCAAGACTACCCTCCTCTTCTGAATCTTCCTGGAATGGGAAAGATAGGGATTTGTCATATTTGAGAAGTAAATAACTTTATGTTCATCCTTCAGGAAAAGATTTCCAAACCATAAGCAACCCTCTTCCTCTAAGCCAGGACAAAGTATTGGAAAGAGAATGAGGTTGTTCCTTTATTTGCAAAACCTGAGTGAACTACGTTGTTTTTCTTTTAAAAATTCCTGGTGCAGAGGGCATGTGCATGTGTGCTAAGTCACTTCAGTTGAGTCTGATTCTGCAACCCCATGGACTGTAGCCTGCCAGGCTCCTCTATCCATGGGATTCTCCAGGGAGGAATACTGAAGTGGGTTGCTATGCCCTCCTCCAGGGGATCTTCCTGATCCAGGGATCTAACCTGCATCTCTAAAGCCTCTTGCATTGGCAGGTGGGTTCTTTACCACTAGCATGACCACACTTCTATCAAAATAACGCTAGGGGTAGAATTCTTGAGTAGTCAAGATAATAGCAGCCATTGCAGCATAAATCTGAACTCATTGTCCATAAAACTGAATACAAAATAGATAACAAAACTGCACAAAACCCATGTCATCTGCATAACTAAAAGAGAATGCCCAAACTTCAGATTATTTGGAAGTAGAAAAATAAACACCAAATCTCAGCAATCTGTGTCCCTTTCTTCTGCTGCAAACTTACACAGAAATAAGGGACAGTACAGAGAAGATGCGTAGAAGAGAAGACTACTGGTGGTTGTATGACTGGTCTAAGATAACCACAAAAAGGAGAACATCCACTTTTGTGCTAAGATACTGGGAAAGAACCCTGGTAAATCAAAACACTTGCATATGTTTTTAAAAAGCAAGGATGGATGTACTTGAAGGGGACAGTGTGTAAAAGCCTTGCTTCTGAAATAGAAGGTAAAAAAGGAATGGAGAGGCCCCTTTTGGAATCTGGTGAAGAAGAAAAGAAGCAAAAGGAAATTTTAGGGCCAAGTAAGAAAAAAAGAGATCCAAAGCTGTGAAAATATGCAGTTGTTAGCCCTTAAGTCCCTGGGCTTCCCTGGTAGCTCAGACGGTAAAGAGTTCACCTGCAATGCAGGAGACCTGGTTTTGATCCCTGGGTTGGGAAGATCCTCTGGAGAGGGAATGGCAACCCACTCCTATATTCTTGCCTGGAGAATTCCGTGGACAGAGGAGCCTGGCAGGCTACAGTCCATGGAGTCTCAAAGAGTAGGACAAGACTGAGCGACTAACACTTTCACTTTAGCCCATATCACTCACACACATGTGCATAGACACATATACACGTAAGAACCATCCAGTAAGAAAAACCTTTCAAAACTCTTTGAAATGAATAGATGAAAACAGAGTAAATATACACAAAACTGTTACAAGAAGAAAACAGAAAACAAGACAACTTCAACTAATAAAAAGTGCTTCCCCCCCCCAAAAAAAATACCCCAAAGCAGAAAAGAAAAAAAAACTACAGCAGAAACTCCAAAGAGAATTAAATATCCACCTTGAAATGATCTCCGGTGACCTCAGCCTGCAATGGCTTGGAGCGGGACTTGGGTTCCCAGCCAGAGATTGAGGCTGGGTCACAGTGGTGAGAGCACCAAATCTTAGCCACTAGACCGGTGGTCAGTGACAAGGGCCCTGGTCCTTCAGCTTTGGAGAAAAGAATTCCCACAAAGATGGAAAGTAATGAAACAGCACAGGGTTTATTTGGAGGCAGAGTACACAGCATGTGTGGATAGACAGGTGTACTCAGAGGGAGAGTTGCTGAGTCACCCTCATGGCATTTTAAGTTATTTTTATGGGGAATTTCTTCTGGGGTTTCTTTTGGCTCATCATTTTTAT